AAAAACTCTATGGTCTGTAACAAAATGGAGATTTTTAACCATCTGTGAACATAGTTGAGACATTTGTTACACCGACATATATGGATGTATCCCTGCAAAAGCTTTCTGTATGTCTGATTAATGTTTTGAAGTTCACATTCCTCACTGTGACATGTTACAACGGAGCAATCGCTCTCTTTGTATGTTGCCTTCGGGGGAGTAAAGTGCTTGAATACACCATGCATACTTCAGGTATACGTGAGAAAACTCAGACATTCTGACTTTGGAACAGATGTGGTTGAGGACACTGTTAATACAGGATCCATGGTGTTTTCCTTGCATGACAAAAATGCATATATGTTTAAAGACAAAACATTGACAATAACTGTAAGAAAATCACTGTATTTCCATTGTCATCAGCTTCATTTGCGTATTGCTTTATTCTTACTCTACATTCACAAAGCAATTATAGTAGTTGAAGGCATTTTTTTTTATCAATAAGCCATAGACAGGACTCAGAAAAGTCATGAACATTTGATTCAACAAATCTTTTAGAAATTGTCTGAACTTTGTTTCAAAATAAGTAATTTAGGCTGCAGCTTGTGAAGAGACAGTAGTATGATGCATCAGTTCAGGTAATTAATTCAGACATAGTACTAAACTAAAGTGCTAACTAAAGAAAAATACAATGGCCAGGCAATTTAATTTGTATAGCACAATTTAGTACATGGACAATTCAAAGTGCTTTACATAAATTAGACAATAAAATTTAAGAAAAATAGAAGCAGAGTAAAAGGAAATAAAAGTAAAACATGATGCATTCTATTCCTGCAGATAAAAAGGTCTAAGGCAAAAAATAGAGAACAATTTGAACCAGCAAATGAACTCTATAGCAAGCTCCTTTCTGTAAACTAATTGAATGCCAACTTTCATGACTCTTATGACCTACTCTTTGGTAAAGCTACCAGCCTAACAGAAAATACACTCTCCTTATTTTTGTTCTTTATAATGTTTTATCAAATCATGTTCATCAAAATAATGGCTTTTATTTTATTCTAACACACAAAGTCTGACTGAACAATGCAATGACTTACACCAGGGGTGTGGCTGATGTCAGGCATTAGGGTTTAGGCAGAATTCAGGACTGCAATAAATTAAAATATAAAAAAAGACAGACTGAGACATGTTTTCTTCATTTTTAAGCTGGTAAAAAAACAACAACACTTTTTTAGATTTGAAAACTGTGTTTTATACATGCTGTAAATATGTTGAAATATATAAGAAAACACTTGAGTAGCTCAATCATATTGGATTGACCATTATGCTGTCCAGCTAGTGGTACTAAAAACATATCTAAGCTCCTTTTTCAGTTTTAGTTATCTGGATCCAAAGCTGCTCTAAGCTGGGGGTTTTCATAGGCTTGTTTTTCCCCTGTCGCCTTAAAGTGGTCCAAAAGATTACACTTAACAGGTCTCACTGTCCTGAGCAATCTGGTCCACACCAGACACTGAGATTAAGCTCAGCCTGTCCCTGGAGAACAACAGCTTAAAAATCAAAGATTCTGGTGTCCTTGTCAATAAAATCACACATAGAGATGACTGGTGCTAAATAAACGTGTCCCTTCAGGTGAGGCTCCATGAAGCTCTCTACCTCAGGAATGTGTCGGCACTGTTATTCCCCACCCACCCCTCACTGCTACCCCCAGCCCTGCCATTGTGAAAGAGAGGAATGCTTTTCAAAATGTTCCTCACAGAACGGGATGTTTAGGCGCTAAACCATCCCTCAGGAAAGTTTGAGAGCCAAATGTTTACTTGTCTTTCAAAACCAATTAAAATGTTCGGATCCAGTTCAAAGAATAAATAACGTTCTGCAAAAAAGGCAACAATATGCTGTATAGCAAAGCTGAGATACTTTAACAGTTTATCATAATGTGGTTTGAGTTGATGTAAGGTGGGAGTTAGTTCTTAAGCGTACAGATGTAAATGTTAAACTAACAGCACAGTAACTAAGGAAACTCGCCTTAGTTGCATATATTTCTCCTGGAAAAAATGGCTGTTGGGGATTCGTGAAACAATTTCTTCTTCTGGGTAGGATAAAAATTAACAAATCCAAAAATACAATCCTTTTTTATTTGCAGTTTTTTTTAATTTCCCTGGAGTTCCTCTTTGTTGCCTTCAAAGTATAAAACCTGGTAACTCTATTATGCTAATAGAACTTGTGTTGTTGATCACATTCAGTTTAAGAATATAACTAACATAGGAATTAGTTTTTTTTTTTCTTTTTTATATTACTCTTTTTTTTCTTGGTATTAAGACCTTTCTGTATGGTAAGGTGTGGCAGGTATTTCACACACGAAAAAAGGGTGGTCCTTCTCAGGTGCTTTCATATTATTGGTTGGTGTAGTTGTCTAAATCACCACCTGAATGAGGTAGAGAAAAAGTCAGAGCAAAACTTGTCAGAAGTATCTTCAGCCTCCTTCAAGTCTGAGCTTAGATTCATCGTTGCTTGGCATCAATGGGAACTATAAGTAAAATAAGGTGAGTATTGCATTCTTAGCACGTTTAACGAATTAGATAGTTGCATATTAACTTGGATCGAGCTAAAAGGGCTTGTTGCATTTTTCTTTATTTCTAAGATGATGCAATAGATGTTTTTTTTTTTTTTTTTTTTAAAGAGGAGCAGAATTAAAGATCAATTTTGAACCCAGAATATAAGCAGTAAAAGGAGAGACTGTTAGAAGGTTGCAATCTCTTTAAGCAGATTTATATTTTTTCCAATTTATTCTTATTTTTTGCCTAAGCCCACATTTCTGAGCTAGTCTGATTGTAAGAGAGCTTGAGAGGGACAGTGTTGCATTCATATTCCTGATGACTAAGCCAGAACTCAGCTCAGACTAGAGATAACCTGTCAGAGCATGAAACCCTGGAGCCAAGGAGCAGGACAGGCCCGGTCTCGCTCCAGTCTAACGTAAAACTCAAGAAAAAAGGGAGAGGTCGACATTTGACTCCGGGCACACTCGCAGCTACCTTCTCAACCTCAGAGGCTTCCTCATTAATCATGGAGTCCCAACTGCAAACTCTGCACCTGGTTGCAGAGGTGGCCTCTATCTGAGCAATTCACATCTGAAAATAAAGCTCAAGGTTTCTCGGTGAAACTAAGGAGTCGTTGTTTTTCAAAAAAAAAAAAAAAAGACTGATTAGGTTTCATTACCTTGGGGAAATTTCGTGAATCTGAGGGAGAAAGAAAATCTAAGTATGAAGAAGGATGATCTGACAGTGTGCATTTGTCTTTTTTTAATTTCAGAAACTGCAGGAATATGCCATGTGTTCTATCCTTCATTCCACCGGAGTCTGTATCTGTATTTAACCAGATTTCAGTGGTTTGAAGTGTAAAAGACATGGACGCATGACTTCAGGAGCCGACCACAAAGAATCCCTTTAGTTTGTTCCTGGTATTTAATGATAATCATCCGTTTTTAACAAAGCATTACAGATTTCTTTTTTTTGCTGCATTTTGTGCTACATATGCAAGCCTTGGATTATCTTGTGAAAACTGTGATGTGACATGAATAAAATTCCTGACCTCCTGCCCAGTGTTTTTTTTTTTTTTAATAGCGCAACATCTCAAACCATTGCTGAACCATTATACCACCCACTCCTAAGCTTCTGTGCTTCTCAGCCCCTGAGCACTTTTTTTTCATTAGCCTGCATGGAGAATTTAAGACTGTAGCCCACACAAACAACCTTTACTTCTTGGCAGATGAAGCTTATTAACAATTTAAAACATGCCCTGGCCATAGCCCTCACAATGATACCATTAAATATTTTCTCACTGCTAAACAGATGAATCTCTAGCACTTCCAGCACAATACTCTAATGTTCTGCAATGGAAAGAAAAACAGACATGAAAAGTGTTTGCTTTTTTATTTCTCTGCACTTCACAGTTGCTGCCATGTTCACTCTTTCTAAAGTGTGAGATATAATACCATGTAAAGACAAGACAGTATGGGTTTTCAAAATGTGTAAAGCACAAATATCGAAGGATAAACCAGGCCTTATCTGGACAGAGCTTTCAGTTTAATTTTAGCAGCAGAGCTCTGCAGTCACAGGCTTTTAAACAGGATATCCCTCTAAAGTCCAACAATCACATATATTTTCTAACATACAAAATCATAAAAGTGAAGTACACTTAAGCTTTTGTATGCATGTGAGAACATTTGCATGCATATATATTCACCATTGTTTTTGTTCTCAATAGTTTAAAAATGCATAAATGCACGAATCTTTCAGTCAAGAAAAATTAAAAAGAAGCAAATTAGAAAATTTATTATAAGTGCATGGTTCAAAAAAGCACAATGGTTTAACATTACAACATAAACTTTTATAAATTTGAGTATGATGTCAAATGACAGATTTCTCCAAAGTAGTGTTAAATTGCGGTTGACTTAGTTTCCATGTTTTTATCAAATGCTTAGCATATTAAAATTTGAAATATGATTTTGCATACAGGTCCAATTATTCTGTAGCAAGAAAATAAAGTTCAATGCAAATAAATGCCTTCAAAATTCAACTAGTTAGGAACAAAAAATAAATCAAACTTGACCAGCATGGAATTCAATCTCGATATAACTTCGAGGAAAGCCTCAGAGGATTGCCAAAGAAAATCAAGTGACAGATAAACAAGGGGAAACATAAGACAGGTCTGGTTTCTGACCAGTTCAAAACATGGTTAGGTTGAAAAAATAATTACTTCTTCTCTCAACATCTATCATCAAAGATATTCAAAGATTTGAGAGAATATTCCATCAGTCCAAATCTACTCTACTAAGGCCACTCACCAAAACTGTCAGCCCGACCACAGAGAGTTTTATTTAGAGAACAACAATAATTCAGTGGCCCTGTCATATGAATAGACACATATAAGAGGGAACAGTGAGGAGAAAAACCCCAAATATCAAAAGCTGATACTATTTCCCCATCAAAGTTCATGTTTTAAGTTTGAACACGGTGATCTACAACACCGATGTTTCATTTTAACAATTAATAAAAGAATGAATGCTGTGATAGACTTTTAATTTATTGTCAAATTATTAATTTATCTAATTTTTGTGGTTAACATTTAAATTGGATGTCCAAGAATGTTAGAAAACAAGAATGTTAGAAGACACAAGCAGAATGTCATAAACAGATCTAATAAGAGCTATTACATAAATAAAGGAAGCGAGTGGGCGGCAACAGTATCCATGGTGATTAGTTACTGAGACTCAAGTTTATCTTTCAAAAAGTTCAAGACAGTCATTACAGTTTGTAAATAAACAATGATGAAAATTAGCAGAACATACCAACACTAAACAGCTGACATGAAGGTCTGTAAAATTTACGTCTTTTTTCTCTTTCTGTTGCTGAACAAAACCCAGGAGGATGATACAGGTAAGAAAAACAGACAGTAGGGACATTTACGCCTACATCCAATAACAGAGAAAAATCCAAAATAACTTTCTCAGATTTTAAGTTATGGAGTTAAGACATCATTCAGTGTAGATTATTTAGGTTTGTATGACAATTTTACAGGCTATAGACAAATCAGTAAAACATAAGCTTCATTACATTAACCTTATTTGCAAATATTTACACTCTCCTATGTCAGTTAAGTAAACAATGCAATTCATAGTCTTGTTTCTTGCTGCTTTCTGTGCATGCTACTGCCATTTCTCCTTACTCTTGGGCTTACAGTAACAGAGGACATCGGAGTTTATCAGCTGGAACGCTTAGTGGAGCTGCTGACCTCCAAAGAGTGTGAGGACCTCCTGATTGCCCTGTCTCGCCCAGAAGAGGACATTTTTCAGCACATTGACCATCTGTCTCCAGAAAATAATCAGCTGGATCTCAAACTTCGAGCCAAGAGAGACACCTCTGCTGCGTCCACAGGTCATTTGAGACCTTTAACACAACTTAAATCACTGAAGGACCTTTTTTTTATCAAGTGTTTGAAAAAAAAGGGGGGAGGAGGTCATAATGGGTCATCAAATGTGCTTAGGTGGGAAAACTGTAACATCAGTGTGGCAGGTGTTCTCAGCGAATAGATCAGGACTGTTGATTTTCTATTTCAGAACAGCACCAGAGAAGGTGGCCCCTTGTCTGATATCAGCACATATTTTTTCAGATTCACATTAATTATTACAAGGTTTTAGCTTTTCTTTTTTTTTTGAGACTTAATGTCATTTTGGTTCAGTTCTGGATTATTTGCGGCTGGAAAGATTTTTATTTGTGGTTTCTTTTTCACTCATAATTTTTTATGGTGTGTTACCATAGCAACAATACAAATACAGGAGGGAACAGCTAATTGACATCCCAAAGGATAAAATAATACCCTACCTATGACCCTAAAAACCAGATCCACAGCAAACTTGGTGTTATTTTCAAATCCTAGGGAGTTAAATTCAACACTTTTAAATTGTCTATATTGGTTCACACTAGATTGAGTTAGAATAGCACTTTTAAAAGTGTTAAACAGCTCATCCTGGTACAGAGATGGAACAAGACAAGACTTAACAGCTTAAACTGGACACTTATGTATAGTGTCAAAAGTCAACACCATGCACTAGTTTTAATCATTCAGCAATTTATGGTGTGGAGCTACATTGTAGCCACAGCTGCTCTGGGGCACGCTAACAGAGGCAAGGCTGCTGTACACAGAGGCCACCACGACCTCTTTCCACCATCAACACTTCACCAATGTTTGTCAGGTATCTTGCCCAAGAACACAAATAAGCTGATATTTGAAAAGCCGGCCCTCCAGTTGCAGGAATCCTGCATCCTAAGCCAAGCAATATAAATATGATAAGCAGCAGTGTTCTGGACAAACTGACTGGCTCAGTCCGATGTACAGTAGAGAGCATTACAGTAATCAAGTTGAGTTGTAAGAAAAGCATACATTACTGTTTTAAAGTCTTTAAGACACAATGATACGGGCTTGATCAAAAATACTCTTTTTTAAGAAGCATTTATATCTCACTGTCATCAACACAAAAATTTAAAAAGATCCCATGTTTTTTGGGTTCTGAACCTAGAGGTTACAAATAAAAATGAAACAAGGAGGGGTCCAAGGATTGAGTCCTGCGGAACGCCATATTGTAGAGGAGTGGATGAGGATTCAAAATCATCTATGTTTTGTTCTGTCTGACACATAAGGCCTAAACCATTTTGGTGCAGTACCACTAAAACCAAATTGGGTCGGTTAACAAGATAATAAAATATTGTGTCCAACAGTATCAAAAGCAGCAATTAGAACAGCATATTCACCCAAGTTATTTGCCCATAGTATGTCCTTAAAAACTTGCAGACTCTGTCCCTCCTGTACTTAGTTTTAAAACCAGAATGAAAAACATGAATGATCTTTTCTTCATCTTCAAAGGGTTTGACCTTTTGGACAAGAGGATATTGAAAAAAAGGCAGTTTTCTTTTGTTTTTCTTATAAGTATACAGTAATATATATGTATCATAAATGTAGTCTTAGATGCATTTTTACTGAAATACTACAAGAGCCTACAAAAAAACAACAGCAACATTTATAATTACCCTGTTTAAATGCTTTAAAACATAGTCAAATATTCTCAGATTTGGGAACATGAAGAGCCTTTTAAAGTTAAAGGAAAGACCTGGTATAAGTGAGGAAAAAGACCTTAAAACAATTGAAATTAAGCATTATTTATTATTTATGCATTTGACATTTTCTTATATCATTAACTCTATTTTGAGCTATTGTTTTAGCATCCTAGAAAGCAGTGGCATGCTTCTCTAACTACCATGTGTTTTGTGTTTAGAAGATGAAAAGGGTCAATGCAGAACAGCTCTGACAGATTGGATGCTAGAGTTTGGTGAGAAGACATACTACGACAAGCTCTCTCGCGCTTTGCAGCACGTTGGCAGAACAGACATCGCCTTGGGTGAGTTAAGCCGAACATGCATTACACGGCTTTCACTTTGTTCGCATATTCAGTGTTCAGACTACTAGACTGGTTATTGTTTCTCAACTATAAGACTGAGAAATACATAGTTGACATCTGGGCTTCCTGCTGGATTACTACAATAAAGTATTATGGCTATGCTGAGATTTTTTTTTTTTTTTTTTAATTACTAAAAATTTATATTAGGTCTGCGAGATTAAATTATAACATTACAAAAATAAAGTTTTAATATTATGAGGAAAAATTTTGCAAGAATAAAGAAGCAGAGCATTTTGTCTCCCCTGTGTTAAAATGCTTGGTTCAGTCTGAGGCTGCTGTTTCATTGAAATGATCGACATGTCAGATCTTGATAACAATCTAAGCTTTAATTTTATGACGTCAGTTTCAAAATATTTTGACTTATTCTCATATTGTTAAATTTTTTTATAGTTAACAAAAAACGTCTTAACATGGCCAAAATCCCCAGTCATTGATTGCATTTTAAAGAATGTTTTAAAGCAACTTAAATTATCTGATTGCATCAAACCCCCCGTGGGAACAGTCTAGAGTATGATTGCACCAAAAGACAAGTAATTAACAATAACAGAAAATATTCTAAAATTCTAAGACGTTTAATGATTTTTTTGTTTGTTCATTTCAAGTAGACCCTTTAATTTGTACATTTAGACTTTCTCTCTGCATTTTTTTTTTTGTTTTTAATCATGTGATTGTGGTTAGTTTAGTATGTTTAATTCTAAGTGTGATTGTGCATTCAAGTTTATATATAATGTTGTGAAGTTTTACAAGTTAAGCTTATTTAAAAAGCTATCTCCTTGCTATTGCTGTGTCCCAGCCTTTCTTTTTTATTTTAAGTAACACTGGTTTGCAGAGCTGCTCCCTGTCCAAATCTACCACAAAAGATAAAGCTTGTTTGTTTGATAATCAGTGAGGTCAGGTCGCTTCCTCTCTCAAAAATACTCAGTCCAGTCCTCATCTCCTCTCCTACTAAGTGGTTTTTGAGCCAACTTGCTCTGACGACTATCCACAACTTCTGCAGACTGACAAGAGACTCTCCTGGGAGTCAGGATAAGAATTGGGCAAAGAGTCTTCTTAGCTTTAAATAAACACGTAAAGAAAGCTTGTCGCTTGCAGCACTTAATCATTTTTTTTTTTTCATGGATAGAAATTTGTATTAACCTACTAATTGGATAGTTGTCAAATCAAAGCTGCTCAATTTTCATGTATATTACCATTGATAGTAGCAAATCCCAAAAGCAAACTGCACAACATTTCCCCTGACAAAAAGAAATTGGAACAAAGCCTCATTCTGCTGCATCTCTACACAGTTTCAAAATTGGTTTATTCCTGTCACAATGGCCTCTCTAAAACTTGAACAACAAGGAAGAATTGCTTTATCACTTTGAGGTTTCTTTTAATTGGAACGTGAAGACTGGCATAGTTTGCACACTGCCAATCTCTGGCATGTGCTACAGTCCAGTGTGCACATCAACTCCACAGCTGAGCAGCAATGGAAAGGAGGAGGTGTAAATGATCTGACAGAGGACTCAGTGGAGCTGACACAGGCCCGACAACAAACCATCTGCTCCTTTCATCAGCAGCTTTGGAGATACAAAAAATAACACAAGAAAAATATGCAAAGACAAGTTGTAAAACAGGAATTTGGAAGGGTGGAAATCAGTGTGATGCAGGATGTAGCAATCATTGATCATTTGACTGAAGTTCTGAAGAAATCCACTCATGTATACTAATTCAAAAAGTTCAATTTGTCAACCGAAAGCCTATCCCACTCAATTTCTCTCATATTATCAGAACAACATTCAAGTCATTCACTAATTTTTTATGGAATATCCAATATTTCCTATTAATTGTTTTTAGCAACTGCAGGCGTTTGTTTTGGGTGAAAGTAAACTATACTGTCCTCCTGCTGCTGAGTCAGAGCATATTTTCCCACATACATAATGTGAATCTAGCCGTCTGGGGATTACACATCAATGCTCCTTTTGTAGACTACACATCCCTCCAAGAGGTCAGTATAATTACCATAATCTATTAGAAATGAGTTTTGCACCAGCATTACCTACACTCAGTAAAGGGGACTTTGCATATGTTATACCATGATCTAGGTGAATGCTCAATTCTGATTGGCTGTAGGGTGTCCATATAGAAGTTGTTGAAGGACACCTATAAAAAAGTTCCACCAAGACATTAAGTTATTGTGCTGGTTCCTTCTGAAATTATATTTTTTATCATGTGGCATCATATTTAGCTGCAGGTTCTGTGGTCATAGCAGGTTACCATGGTGACACATAAAAACAAGAGATATTGCATAGCCCATTCAGCTTCTTGTGGAAATACTACAGGTATTGCTATTTTAAAAAAATAAAACCGTTATCATATTGATTTAATAAGTATTTCTGTTATAAGTGACCATGGTAAAGGCAAGATAATGCCATTTAAGGTCTCAATTGTCAGAAATTAATGGACTTTGCAACTCTGAGACATCCGTTAGGAAAGAGATAGTGCCCAACGCGGTGTCTATTATCAGAGATAATGGATGATGTGGAGACATGAACCTTCGAGGATGCTTCAGTCAATTTATGATGGGTTTTTTTTACCATTAAAATTTGAAGTTTTTCACAAGAAACAGCTGAACTATTTAGTTTCTCTCATGGTGACATATTGCCTCGGTAACCAGCTCTGTCCGTATCATTTCTGTATGATTTCAGAGGGAATTTCAGCCCACTGTCCCCAAACCATCTGAGATAGTTTGCCTCAAAGTTTAGATTTAAATACCTTAAATGCTTTTTCACATTAATGTATTATTTTAAGATATATTTGATAATAATGTTTAAAAAAAATTTATTCATAATAATTGTTTTATTTCATAATGCTAAAAACGTAAATTCTTTCACCATATCATTTCTTTTTTCTCCCATTTTTCAAAAAGCACACCACTAGAGTTGCACGGCGGCAACATTTTTTAAATACAAACTGGAAATCCAGACTGGAAGTTGGTTACTTTTGCAGAATTTCTGAGTAACTTACACTGAGTAACTTTTTAAACTACTTAAAATGTTTTCATAACTTTTGTAATTATATGTCGTCTTACACCTAGTTGAATGACACGTCTGTCATGGCCACAGGGTGTCTTTATCGAGTTCAGCGGCACTAAGTATCTTTGAAGAGGGTGCCAGTAACCCTGCCACACAAAATAACTCCAGATGTGCAGAGAGTTTTAAGGCATACATCACTTCCCCTTTTCCCCCGTTTGTTATAATGACAGAAGTCGACGCGACTTTGTTACCCTGAGAGACTACATTTGTGTAAATTGTGCAGGGCTGATATTGAGGCAATGCTGCACCTTCCTGCTAGGATCTATACATGAATTTACTGTGAAATCATCAAACATAACATTATGTTTATCTGTGTTAAGGCCCATCAGCACATCAGTCGTTGAAGAGTCGGATAAGGTGGGGCGGCAATGCAGTAATATGGTACAAAACCAAAGTTGAACGTTTTGTTTTATTATGACACTGTTTCGCAACAGTTAGATTCATTACCTCATCGGTATTCGTGTTCCACACAGCCACTGGAAATAGAAATGTTTCAGGACTTTAGCACACTATGCGCTGGTCGTCAAGGGAAAATTTGTCTTCCTTCAGGCAAAACAAAACAGCTTTTGGAGGGGAGGCAAAATTGACTGGAAAAACTGAAAGTTCTTTAGTACTGCTTTAAATTCAAGTTAAGTCAAGTCAATTAAAAGTTTTAATTTAAGGGGAACTATCCGTAAATTTTTATTACATCTTAACAATATCGTAACATCGTAAAAAAGCATGTGTGATATGTTTTGTATTTGTCAGTTGTAATCCTTATGCATAGAATTTTTTTTACATCCAAGGAAAACTACAGCAGTTTGGGTTTGCGTTGGTGAAATGCCTTTAAAATTTTAAAATGTTTTGTCAGTCTCCTTTCTATCTCCTCTTTCTTTCATCTTTTCTCCTTTTTTTTCCTTTTTCTTCTTCTGTTTTTCTGCTCTATTTACATTGCAGTGTCCATATAAACTGTAAAACTCTCTGCATAATTATATGCAGGGAGTTTTAATATGCATGAAACAAGTGGAGCAATATGGCAATTGCCATAAAGTAAAAAGTAAAATCTGTTGGGCTCTTTTTGGCATGAAGACAATTATTCTTATTGCCACATTGCCAGACAGGACACTGTTTAAAAAAAAAATAAAATAAATAAAAAATAAACATATAATAAAATAAAATTTAAAGTGTCAAAAAGACAAGCAGATAAAAAAATTATAGTTCAAATTCACCTTTATAGTAATAATCCATATTTAACTTAAAAAGGCATGATTGAGGTGCTTTTCTGGAACACGTTAGCTTTCCTTTGTTATAAAGCAGGCATCACATTCATCCGTCCTTTTTGGCATAGCTTTATGCTCAATTTAGACCTTCCTGATCCAACTAGGATTCAAGTTCAAAATTGAGCCCTGACCTAGTTGCTACTGCTACACCATAGGTTTAGCAAATAATATTTAATGTAAACAAGAATTTTGACATTCACAGAATTAGATTACTTTATATTAAGCAATAAGGTCATACAATTCTCATATTTTGTAGAAAATCAGGAGGCCACCTCAATAATTAGAGTTTTAATGATGAGACCTGTGTTTCACCAAGGATGGTTAGATGGTTTAAATAGACCTAAAAAAAAAACATTGATCTTAAAGGTAACATTTTTCATGTGAGATCGCCTCTGTGTTTTTGTCTTTACAGAAGTGGGGAAGAACATCAACCAGGATAAAGCCTTAAGCTTGAAGCGCTACGTTGAGGACTACGAGAAACATGCCAAATCCCTAAACAGCCGCTTCACGAATGCAGATGCAAATCAGGAGCAGCGGGCTCATCAAAGATTCAGAAAAATAAAGAGTAATATTTCCTCACAGTTTAAAAAATGGACATTAACTTAAACAGGGAGAAATAGCCATGCAGAACCAAGGATCCTGGTATACAGTATGTGAGGAGGAAATCCTCAGGCTGCAAAGGGGGCCTTTTGGGTTATTGTCTGAATGATGTTTCTGTGAACCCTGAATCTATTAATCTTTAGATGAGATGCTGGATTAGATGGGGTTGCTTTGGGCATGCTTCCAACTCATTACTCCTCAACATCAACACTCTCAATTTACAAAGTATATTTCCCAGGACATTTACAGATTCAAAAATGTAATTATCACCTCTCCATTTATTTACCCTCCTGAGAGATTACTTCAGGTGCAAAGTTGTGAAAAAAGGTGTTCCCATGGTTCTTATAATCTTAAACACGTTTGGCTTTTTTGTGCTCTGTTCAGTTGGGGATCTGACGTGGCGTGACCTGGATCTGATCGTGAGACGAGCTCCTGTACCTCCGTATCCCAGGGGGCCTCTGGATGTAGTTCTTCCCATTTTTTATGGCCTCCTGCTGAGCTCAGTTTCATGTGCAGTTGTACTCCTCATCGTTATGCTCGTCTGCCAAAGGTCAAGTTGATTTTAGGATGAAATCAGGATTTCAGAAGCAGAAATGTTTGTCTGTGTGAAGAGAATGAGAACAATGTAGCATTGCAAAGAGGTCAATAAAAACTTCACACACCTTTTCTATTTCATGTGTATTTTCTGTAAGATTTCCTCCAGTCTTTGTATCAAAACCCATTCACAACAACAATGCAAAATCTACTTTGCAGCACAGTTGCGAAGTTTAACAGCTGCTGCCAGAATGGATATTTTTTTAGATAAAATGATTAGCTTTGCTTTAGGGTTTTTTTAAGCAATTGCCAGTATTGTCAAACCAGGGGCTGTCTGCATTGTGGTGTGACAGATGCACTGGAACCCAGCCCTCACACCTCACAGGTTATTCCAGTGTTGCTCTGATAGGGATGCCACTTTCCATTTCCCCTCTAAGTGACGGCACTGTGCCCGTCTGGCATTGAAGAACAGCTAATTATCCGGCCCGGCGTCCATTTCCCCCTGAGCTTGCCCGATACCTCCACAGGCAATCCAAAGAACTAATAACAATGACAATACCAGCAGACGATGTAGAGCTCTTGTTTGTAATAACAGCATCTGCTGGGGAAATGAAGCCAAAAAGGAAGTACAGAAGTTTAGTTTTGAAAATGCAAGAAAATTGAAAACGGGTGACATTTAAAACTGTGATACAATATTTACCTCAGACTGGTACACATTGAAACTAAACCGAAAAGAAAACATTTTTTTATGAGATGTGTTAAAATCTGTGGGCTTTAATTAGGAAAGTCATTTGCTCTCAACAGGATCATTCTCAACTCCTTCCTTCAGACAGTTTTATAATACCATGACTGAAAAAACCCATGGCACTTGACTACATTCTTTCTTATTGCTCCCAGTTTCTTACGCGGTCCCCACTTTCTTCATCATAATTGAGCTAATTACTTCATTACACAAATCTAGCCTAATGTGTTTCAGGAGGGCGACAGCTTGGATTAACGCCGGCACTGAGCAGCAATTACAGTCTATTAGTCCATAAATCAACATTTAAACAAAATTATAGTACCAACAACTGTATGAGCAAAGCTCTGAAAGACCAAAAGGCCATGCTTTTTAGTTTTGGTAATTACTGAAGTACATCGCGTCAGAAAAGTAGTTATTACCTCAGAACTTTTTCATAAACTTCAGCAAATTCTGGTGTGATTTAATGTGATGGATTAACACATGCAGGATTTCTGCCTGAATTTGTAAATAATACATGATGGAGGATTTTTATTTGGAAGGAGTAAAATTTGATATTTACTTTTGTTTTTAAAGAATTTTCTTCAAAAAATTGTGTAGTTGTATCCAGCAACTTTGACTGGGATGTTCCACATGGAGTCATTGCACTGCTTGGTGGTGAACCCTCCCTCTGGTCTCAGCTCTTTTGGCACTCTGTTACAGGTTTTCTTCCAGGATTTGTTTGCGTTAAGTTCCATGCATTCAACTAATTAACTCTCACCAGTTTTAATGTCCATTCTTATGAAAAACATCCCCATTGCAGCATACAGCCACCATGCATGTCAAGTAAAAAGATGGCGGATTCAAGGTGATGTTTTTCCACCAAGAATGTATATTTTGGTGTCATCTAACAAGAAAGTCTTCTGACTAATGTTTACTGTCCCCCACATGATTTGCAGCAGTCAACTCATGGCTTCTTTCTACTATGGCTGCCTTTTTCCTGATCCTGATTCATGATTTGTGAGTTGTGCATTTATGTAGCTCCTCCTACCACAGGCTTGTTGCTTGCTGCTTTGATTAATGATTCTCTTTTCCACCTTGTCAGTTAGATTGACTTCCATGTCCTGGTAGGATTTGCATCTGTTCCATATTCTTCAGCTGATCACCTAAACCGTGCTCTCTGATATGTTTTGTTTGGCTTAGTATCTCCTAACCTAACTCTTCTTAAAAGGTTTCCAGATCTCTCTCTTTGACCTGTTTACTGAGTGTCTTAGCTTCATGGTGTTGTTCTATTCACCATTAGTCTTGAATACACGTCCAAGGCCTTCAGAGCAAAGGTGGATTATGCTGAGATTAAATGCATACAGTACAGGTGGATACTGACTAATTTTAATGTGATTTCTGAAATGGAAATTAGTTTGAATTAATTGGAGCATCACAATATAAATGACAAAAAAAAAAAACAGATCAGACAGTCCAGGTTTTTCTAAATGTCTCTTAAGCTAAGTCTTTAAAAAAAAATGTTGTAGTGTTGTAGTGTAATATGGAATCTGTAAATTATAAACCAGAATTTAAGAAGTTATCATTAAAATATGTACTGCATTTTATTTTGATTATTGATTATTTTTATTATCAATTTATACTTTTTTAACATTGTAAATAATTTGTCTTGCTTTGTCTTCTTTAGTGGAAAAATAGCTCTTCTATATGTAATATTAAACATCTGTCTTTGAACGTTGTTTTTGTTTCACATTTATCACTAAACTCCCCTGGCAGCAAAGGACAGCTCTATATGACTAAACCTTCTCTGTCCTTCAGTTTTCCCCCTCTAGCTGTTAAGATGCTGCAGGTGCTGACTCTGACAGGTTCACCTGCTGTGGGCTCACCCGCATTTCTGTAAGCAGTGGAGAGGAAAGCTGTACTTTTGTATGCCTGACTGACTCAGAGAAACAACATGCCACAAGGGGCCATCATGGTTGTGACACTATTTTGCAAGAATCCATCAGGAAGCTTCTTTCAGCTGGCTTAAAATTAAAAAAAATGAAAACAAACTCTTCAACATTGTTGAGGCTAACTGTGAAACTGGGGAAAGTTAGTGAACCCTGCTATATAGACTGATAGCAGTGGTTTTAAAAAAATGTTTTATTGATTATAGATGTGTGTTTCTCTGTGTGCTTTGTTTTACAATCTACTTAGTGTCTGAGATCCAACCTTGTATTTTTTATAGAGTTGCAAATTTGCAGCAAATACATACACAGGAAAGCTGGACAAACACACAAAACACATGCAAAAGAAAAAAAGGCTGTGACAAGAAATGCCACAACTATGGAACATTGAGGCCAGCAAGTTCAGAAGCACTGCAAATACAAAAGCCGCTGAAAACACATGAACAGTGCTTACAGACATAAACAGGATAAAATATTTCAAATGAAAACTTACCTTTTCTTTCGTCTCTTTAAAAATTTAATCTTAGTGGGCATCCCCTTTGTGTTTAGTAAAGCTGAGGGTCTGATCCAAAGACATGAATCTATTGTAAGATGTTTTTATGGTTTGGTCCCATATGAGCAATGTTGGGAGTAACGGCATTATATATTAAAGTCGTAGGGAAGCGGCTGTTTGAACTGTTGCATTTCCGAATTCTTCCGATTGGTGCCCAACTCTACACGAGTGAATAAAGTGAATGTGATTGGTCGTTTATTAAGGGGGCGGGATTGTTGTGCCGGAAGGTTCGCAAGCTTTTCGGTTGTGGCCGGTGTCTTGAAAGAATACTGCGGAAACATGCAAGAGGAGGAGAGTTTTGTGTCGGAGGTTGTGGATGCGTCTCCTCCATCTTACATTTTTTTATTCAGAGAAGGAAAGTGGGGACGAAGTTGTTGTGGAAGGGGACGCCAGGGCGGCAGAAGCTTGGTTTGGTGTAGAAGGCTTACAGCTGTACATGTTTGAGCCCTTGCCTCGCAATGCTGCCAGTTCTGTTAGCTCTACGCCTGCTGAAGACACAGACGTCCATCCCCATGAACACTGGGACTTAACTCAATGGGAAAGTAAATGATTCTTATTTCAACCGTTGCGTATATTATCTGCAACATATGAATCAACATGCTGTGACCGAAAAATGTGATTGACAGATGACCGTTGATATATTATTGGCTGAATTTAGGTGTACAAGCTGACGTATAACTCACCGGCCTGCATAAGATAAAGAAAAAAAAATACACAGATTTTAAGACAGGATTTTTTTATAGAAATGTTCTAAATGTCGGGACAATATTGTTTGATAAAGAGTACATTTATATACATGTTTAAGCCAGAATGATTTGACATTGAAATATGACTTCCCTACGACTAATGGCATTGATAACAGTTATTTTTCTAGTGACAGAATAATCTAACCAATTACTTTTCAAATATTAATTATGCCCTTACATTGCTTGCAGTCTAATGCAGCACTTTTTCTCGATCAGTCAAAGTGACTTTTCATAAATGCACTCGCTGCTATGAGAAGAGAGAGCTTTCAGTGCAGAGATGCAGGTATATGATTGGCTGAGGGAATGTAAAGTGAGTAGGTGTTTCTCTGAGCAAGACCCTTAACCCCTGATTGCTCTCCACGATGGCAGCCCACTGCTCCCCAAGGGGATGGGTTAAATGGGAAATCAATAAAGTTCAATTATAAAATTATTAGTATTCTTTCCGCACCTGTTATTTTTTTTGCCAGGTAAAGCCTGTTAATATGCAATAAATCACGCTTGTTAAATATTTGTTTTTTTTTTTTTTTTTTTGGTATAAACATTCAAGAGACATTTTATAAGTTTTTACTGAAAAATATCTTTTAAAAAGCCTTTTTATTCAACCCTTCATAATTGAAATATTGTTTGATGGGCAGACACATCTGTAGGTCAGCACTGATGCATCTGTAAGCCTGTAGCCTATTTTCCTGAATATACTTTGAGTCAGAGGTTCCCATGCTGTTTCTGAGGATGTGACATCAAATGCATCCATGTTAAATGGATCAGACCGTAGCAAACAATGATAGATTTTATTCCAGATGGATTTGTGGATCCTCAGAAGCCAACGGCATTCAGCTTATATCAAACACCAATGGCAAATCCACATGAGGCTTTTTATGTGGGGGAAAAAAAGCACCTTGTTATATATGAGTGCGAGCTACAAGAACGAGGATATGAGTGCCGTAGTTCTGTGCTTTGGCCACACGTGGCAGTATCATTGGAAAACTCCATAATGGCTGTTTAAGCGTATTAATCACAAAAATTAATAAACAAATGTTTTGTAATTGAATGTCTCAGCTGTCTTGTGATGCCACAGATACCAAATGGTTTAGATCAGTATGCTCTCACATATGGAGTCATTTTGATGGATTATTTTATTT